TGGTGATGATTTCACGTCATGCTTTTCAATTAGGGTTCGTTAATGGCCAACAAATATTGTAACCGTTTAATAACCAAAACTTCACTCTTGCCGCAACCCTCTGTATGCACAGGCATTTCCGAATTAGCGTGATACAGCTTTGTGTGGATGTCGCTATCGCCTATGCCGCAAGTCCATTGGCTGGTATTACTGAGGTTTACCAAATTGTACGTGTGCAAGATATATGATTAATCAATTTTCGAACGCGCCCAATGACATTATAGGTGTACATATGCGAGTGTACATGTTGCTCGCCACAAAAGGACATCGGGACATGTGTATATAGATCACCCTATTGCAAATGGGTCCTATTAACTGGATGATAAATCTTCGACTCAAGAGCAATAGAGTTATTACTCATTGTGAACCAGTCCTGGAGATACTATGGCTGATAATGTATAACTCTTACCGGGTCGGTTTACATATTCTCTTGTTAGATATACAGAGCGCTATGAATGTATATGTCGTTACTTCAATCGGTGATTTGTTAGTGGATTACAACAAGTGGAGTCAGGTAGGTTGACCCTGCAACAGTTTGTAACGGCATTATTATCACACAATGCCGTAGTTCGACTGGACTATGGATTCTTTTGGCTCGAATGCAATGCCAGTAGTATCACGAGTCTCGATCTCCATCGAAACGTGTTGAACTGGTCGACAATCGAGTAAAGCCACATACAGACCGACAATCCAACGGCGAGCAAACGAATGCGAGCACATCTGATGTTGGCGTTTGTTGTTGAAACGTATTGGAATGCGCTCGTCTACACCTAAATTTAGTTTCGAGTCGGACCGCGTCGGGTTAAGTTCGGTGCTAATGTCAAGCATCTCCTCTTCTCTTATCGAATGCCGACAAACGAGTAAATATCAGAGGCGCAACAGATCCTGTTCAGACCAAATCAAACCTCAAAACGCCGGTCTTGGAAATCGTTGGTTTATGTTGGCTCACGGCGTACACACCGATTTGAACACCTCCAAATCTGTAACCACATATGCCTTGGCATACGTTGGAATGTCGGTCTGTACGCGGCTTTAGGATATGTTCACTTTTCATTTATTTATACACGATACGCTGTATGAACATATAACTCTAATTAACGAACGTCCGGGCCAGTAGTTTTATTGATGACGAGCGACAAGAGCTGTTACGATCTTACGCCTGAAGGATACTTTCCGCGTAGTGTAGAGGACCCAAACCGAAACGGTGCAACATTCCATATTGAAAATTCCTGCTTTCAAAATCCCTTATTTCCAAGCTTAAAGCTCAATCTGTGCATCATATAAAACCGAATAATATTTTCTTGAGGACGCGGACGATAATAAAAACTTTAATCTCTTCTCCCTAACTAACTTTAATGAAAGTAATATTCAGCGGCACTGTTTACATTTTTGCCCGACTTTTTTCTGCTAATTTCGCCAATTTAAAAGGCAGCAAAAAGTAGCAAAACACTTTATCTGCCAAATAAAAAAGTAAGAGGCGGAAAACTAGCACGAAACAAAGACGGAGAAGTTTTGCACATAGTGATATACAGGATGAAGCGTAATGTCTGGTAGATGGAAATTTTCAAGTTTTGAAAATTCCACATCCACTATCTTTATATCAATGCGTGGAAAGTACATATATTGACTCAATCTGCTTGATTCCATTATTTTAACCCACCATGTGTGGATCATTCGCTACGGATATTCGTGATATATTCCATAAATTTCCAGTTGGTAAGATATTGCACAAAACTAATCGCATTTTATTTATATTTTAAAATTATCGGAATTTAGTGACTAGATCAATCATACGTTCCATTTCAACTAACTTTTTAATGCAGTTGAAAATGAGCGAAAATTCTGTGTGATTACATTTAACTCTGCATAAATGGCAATATGAAATTATTCTGAACAATACAGAACCAACGAATTTACCCAACTAGTGAATTATCATAAGTGAGAAAATGCAGTTGTTCTGCTCATTTTCCAAAATACCCCCCTATTATTTTTACTATAGCGCCCATTGACGAGGGAGAATTCTAATCGCAAAAAATTCGACACTGTTTTTTTGGCGTAACATGGCATGTGTGAGTATATCACGACTGTATGTCTGTCTGTCTGTTTGTCTGTTCGTTGATAATTAGCTTGTCTATGTCACGTATTTTCGTCGATCTGTCGGTTTATCGGTCTGTCAATCTGTTATAACTATGCCAAAAACGAAAAATATTTTAGTTCTTGAAAATGGATTCAGTTGCGGGGCTAGGGGCAATAAGAGAACAAATATGTACTATTCTTGTAATTGTTTATATTTTTTGTATTGTTAATTCATCAGTTATTATTGAGTAATATGCATACATTTTTATTAGTTCACTATTATATTATAATTTTTTTGTTTAGCTTCAAAGGTTAAGTTGAAATCACCGTTAATCTTAGCGACATTTAGCCTTTTTGTACTTTTATACGAAATATACAGGGTTTGCCCGGAAAGTAATAGGACTCACTTTCTTCCGCCATGACTGTACTTCAGAGCGTGCACGCACCGACTGGATTCGGTAGAGGGCGTTCCTAGCTAAAGAAAGAGCGGCTGGTCAGTTGTCTCCGAGCACTTGGAGAGTCAGGACAGGCATTTTCGCGCGACGTGTTTCTGTCTGACAGAGACGTTTGATATGATCAAGCAGGCTTACCCAGGTGTTGCTTTAGCAAAAAGTGGTGTGTTTCGGTGGCAGCAGGCCTTTTTGGAGGGCCGGGAAGAGGTCGCTGATGAAGACCTTCGACTTCGACAAACACCGACAATGTGACTGGTGTGCGCAAAGTTTTGAACTCAGACCGCCGACGAAGTATTCGTTTAATTGCCCAGACGTTAAATTTACCAAAATCTGTGGTTCATGACATTGTGACACATCATTTAAACATGCGCGAAGATGGTCGCAAAAGTGCTCACTGACGACCAGAAATTGCGGCGAGTGGAAGTGTGCCAAGAAAATTTGAACATGTGTGAAAGTGACCTTCAATTTTTGAATAACGTATGATGCCGAGACAAAAAGGCAATCTTCCTAGTGGCACACGACGGCGTTTTCTCGCCCAAAACAGGGAAGAATGAGCAAATCCAAAGTGAAAACGATGCTCAATGTCTTTTTTGACATCAACGCCAAATTTTACGTGGAAGTGCTCAGGAAACTCAAACAAAGGGTCAGTCGGGTCCCATAAGACATCGCAGCCGACTGGAAGTTGCACCACGACAACGCCCCTGCTCACACCGCCTTTCTTGTGAACAGCTACCTGAACAAGGCCGGCATCCCAATGCTTCCGCAGTCACCGTACACGCCAGATGTGGCCTCCCCGGACTTTTTTTAGTTTCCTCGCCTGAAAAGGCAAGCATTTTGAGACGACAGCGGGGATCCAAGCAGCATGCACCGCGACTCTCAATGCTTGGAAATCGCGCTGGCAGCGCTGCATCGACGCAGAAGGAGCCTATTTTGAAAGTTTTTGAAGAATTGTAACGATTGGTTCAATAAATTTTTTTAAATCGTCTCGGTCCTATTACTTTCCGGACAAACCCTGTATATTCCACACATAATAAAATTTCCCGTAAATATACCAATAAAACTAATTTAAACGGTGATGATGGGATGCTGCTGTAGTTGACGAGTGGTTAGCTCATTAGCCTTCTTATTTCAAGCGTAATTGTTCCCTAGAAGGAAAGTCGCAACTTTCATAACACCCTGCATAGTCATAGGAATCAATCATTGAACTTTGCCCAATGTCTGTATATCACTCGCAATTACACCCTCGCCTGCGGTACGTCAAGTGAAACGCATTTAATAATCCAAATTAATGCGTATACCGTCTTCGTATCCCGAAGAGAAAATTAAGTTTCACGGAGACGCTACTGTTCCGAAACAGATACTACGAGTTTGGGCAAATGCTAAAATAAGTAACCATGAGGAGGCATAAGTATAAAAGTAAGTATGAAATACGTAAGCTGAAATGCAGGGAGTTTATCTTTTTTGCTAAATTCTTGTAACAGATGAACAATAAATTATAACTCAGGCCTTCTTAATTACGGAATTATGTTTCTAACTTGCGTAATTTATGTGAAATGTTTCGTTAAAACTGGTTTTTCTCAAGGAAGTTCAGAAAGTCATGTAAAGGTTTGTTATACTGGAAACGTTGGGAGTTCACAAGACTTAATACCTTTATTTTTCTCTGTCTATCTCTCTCTCTCTCGGAATATCAAAAGCATAACAGATGAGATGGACATGAAATTGCTGAATAACAATACACTAAGAAGCTTTATGATTTTCTTGATTCTACGATTTCTTTATACAGGGTGTAAACGTTATGATAGTCAGTATTTAAATGGGTGTTAAAAGAAGCAAAAAGTTTCATATAACATGGGGGTCAAAACGGCATTTTTTAGAGAAAAGCGATTGTAATAAAGTAAAATAAAATCTGAAGACGCCGCAATGCCAGGCGCAAATTACGACGGAACGCAGTGTAGTGATAAATTTGAGCCGAAAGATTTGAATTCTGACGCGCTTCACCGTAAACTAACATGTCGGCGAACTCTTGATTCGAGAACATTGTAAATCAACACGATGACGTACGCGAACAAAAACAAAACAACATACTAACCACTGTTACCGTTTGCGATCGATTGCCGGTTCGATAAGAGTGATGATGACCGACGTGCTGTTGTCATGTGTGCTTTAAATATTCAATTTAATGAAACTTACTTGCTTACTGACTACAAATTTTGGCTTAACTTTGAAAAACTTAATGCCATTTATTTTTTAATTACCCAATTTAAAAACGTTTTAGATTACATTATAAAAATTAGTAAGCACTTAAAGTTGTAAACTATAAAGCCATTTAGACAAAAATCAATTGTTTTGACCTCTCCCTACACCCTGAATAAGTCTATAATAGGACACTTATCCATCCAACAAGGTATGCAATGTAGTATTTTATTGTTGCAGTGCCACCAAATATTGACGATTCTCGCAGCAGCAGCGACGTAATTGTACGTGAGGGTTCCAACGAGACTCTAACTTGCAAAGCAACCGGCTTCCCCACACCGAGTGTTAAGTGGAAGAGGGATGATAATTCCAAAATTACCATAAACAAGACCCTTCAAGGTAGGCAGTACATTTAGTATCCCAAACGTCAGTTCTAAGTCAAACCCTTTGCTTGCCTTCTCTCATCGGGGACCAAGGTTAAATTAAATTCTTCCAAGTCGTACGGTTTGTTCACAAAATTTAGGTCATCACGATTTTTATTCGAATTTTATTATTCAAAATCTCCCTGTTCCCTAGTCTATAAACATTAAAGTGAATTTCTGTTTTTTGTACAGTGAATGAATGGGAAGGTGAAAAACTGGAGCTAATAAAAATATCCAGACTTGATATGGGGGCGTACCTGTGCATCGCAAGTAATGGAGTTCCACCAACTGTTAGTAAAAGGATCAAGGTCAGCGTTGATTGTAAGTACCGATATCCTAAGATTCATAGATTTTGGACTGATTTCGTAACAATATTCAGTTCGACTGTCTCTCTTTTTTGAATCGGAGAAACTCACTGCGAAATACTTTAGTATAGTCGAAATCACGAAATATGACGATTACGTCATCATTTTAGTCAAGTTTCAAATATTATGTTAGACAGAAACAAACAGAATTTTATTGTCTAAACAAACTGTATTGCTAATTTGCATGTATCCGACAAAGATAGACGATGTGTTCATGTTGCTTGATCGATCATATTTGAAAGATGAATAGTTAGGTTATGTTAAAGCAGGTTAGGTTGTTTTCGAATAATACTTTGGTCTTTTGTGTTAATGTCTTAAGGTGTATTCTTACTTATAACTTTTTGTCAAAACAAAAACTCCCCACTAAAATTATTATTAAGGCATCACTTTAAACCATGAAATAAAAATAATCAGAGAAATAAACTAACTTCGCAAAATCATAATATTAATTAATGATATCGTGATTTTATGATCGACGTACGTCCATTGATTACTTCAGTACAATTTATGGTATGACGTAATAGTCATCTTTCGTGATTTAGACTATATGAGGAAATTATAGATAACTACCCAAGTTTTCTTCAAAATTATGAAAAAGGTTATGCTTAATACAACACAGACTGTCAAATATAAAGAATTTCTAGTTTTGCAACTTTGAAGCTGAGTACTGTTCGAAGACGAGAAGTGGATTTAGAAAGTAAAATTGCTTATTGAGTACATTTTTCTGTAGTTTCGACAGACGACCCGTATCACTGGTTTTCAGGAATTAAGGAGTGAATATGTGGTACCATTGTGACTGTTCATTATGAAATACGTATTTAGTGCATTTCAGTCTACTATTAACAAACTTCCTGGCAGTAGACTTTCATTAACGCAACTTTGATACAATTCTTCGTTTTTCACTGTTAATCGCACGTAAGCTATTCAGGCATGGTGATTTATAAGAGGTATCTAGAGAGGTTATTTACAAAAATTATAAGCGTAATATACTTACTTGCTTGGCAAACAGTGTGAATCATAACTACGTAGCATCACAAACATGCAGCCTTTAAATGTACATGCTCCTATCTGCAGCCCATGTGCGAGCGATTTTCGTGGCGTGCATACATATATCTAAACATCACAATACCTCGTCAATCGCGAAAAATCTCAAAAACGAGGTATGTAACTATTTTGATGCTGGAATGCAAACATCAACATTTAACCTAGCAAGTTTACGTTTTACCATCAAAATGCGTAAGCCTGTTGGCGAGGAAGTATTGTAATCGAAAAAAATTTCGAACATGAGATATTGTTTTTTACTCTGAATTGAATTATTCTATTAATAACTTGAATTTTATTATCATTTTATTTTGAGGTCATTAATTATGATTGATTGTTTCACCATCTACTACTGTAATATAAAATCTTTGTAATTAAAAATTATTGACTACTTTTTAGTTCGTCTATGAAAGCCTGCGTTTTTAATTATTTTTAACTATTTATTTTCGCTAAAAATAATAATGACCCAGGTGTTTGGTTTGGCCGCATGTCGAATTACCTCACGTGCATCTTGACGCGCCCTGTCCCCCCTACCCAAGCCCTAAGAAAGGCTGCAAAACTCATGTCTCATCCTGAAGTGAAGAATTTTCTAGAAGTTAGTTTCCGGTGTCCCCCGGATATACGTCGAGGGTTACCTCGGCAGAGGGTGGTTGAATTAGTGTCCATTGTGCACTGGGGTGCGGACTACCAATTCTCACTGTCAACAAAAGAGAACTAGCTGAAAATTATACACAATGAATTACAATGGTCAGCTAATGCAGAGAGAACATTTGTGCAGGACTAACTATAGCTGCAGCAGTCGCTACTGAAGCTGGGCCCAAACCCTGTGCGCTCGAACACTCGAGTACGACACACCGTACGTTTTTAATGAATTGGATTAACAAACATCTACAAAGGACAAAAATAGGACAAGGAGAATGGTGTGACATCCAATTGCAGCCCATACGCGAGCGTTTCCTGTTGTTCAATCATGCCATTCTTTCCTGTCACAAGAGTGAATGGAAAATAAAGCTATCAATATTTCCTGTTGAACTTTGTTGTTAACGGGGCTACTACAATCACGAGCACCATCTGCTGAGGTAACGGGGGGGGGGTGAAAAGGAAACGATTGTGGGCTGGTCTTAGACGGTGGTCGGCGCTATTTTAAAAGAGGAAAGGATGACTGTGATCATTTAGTGTTGTTCGTGTGTTGATCATTTCGGGAAACTGGGTCAGTCGCCAATAAAAAACGCAACATTGAAAATCCCATAAAGAACGAAGTAATAGAAGTGGGGGTCTTAGGGCAAGTTTATGTAGATTCTACGTTAAGTACCGGCAAATTGGAGACTGTGTGTGATGTTAGTCGGCGTACTGTCCAACGGATTCTAAAGGCCCATAGTTTTCATCCGTATAAAATTCACCTTGTACAAGAACTTAATGAAGACGATTTTGATCGGCGATTACAATTTTATGAAGATATGAGTGAACGAATTATAAAGGATGAACATTTTCTATTCAACACTTGCACTTGGTATGCGTACGGTATATCGGCGAATACGACAGTTTGGGCACAATACGTGCTACCTGTCATAGCTGAACATCGGCGTAACCGTTTGCTCTGGTGTAGAGAAATAATTCTATGGGACCGGGAGTGGAATCAGGTAGTCTTTAGTGACGAATCCCGCTTCTGTCTGGGGATGGACGATGGTCGGGCAAGAGGGAGAAGGCGACATGGTGAAAGACGTGACCCACAATTTGACAGAGAGCGTCACGTTGACCACACCGTTTGAGTTAAGTTATGGGGTGCTATTGCTGATGGTAGCAGATCATCACTAATTTTCATCAGATGTAACATGGCAACCCGACGCTATATTCAGGAAGAAATGGAGACTCATCTCATTCCATACGTAAATATCATCCTAAACCCGACTTTTCAGCAAGACAATGCCAGACTGCATGTTGCCAGAGCATCGTTAGCCTTCATGGATCAACATCGCATCAACCGTTCACTTTGGCCACCACGATCGCCTGACCTATCGCCAATAAAACATGTCTGGGACATTATAGGTCCAAATCCAGGGAGTTCTACAATACCGTCATACAAAAATTGTTTTCACGTTGGCAAAAGGTCATTGAATGTGATGGTAATTACTTCTACGAATAAATAGTGTCTTATTGTTTCTCAATAAAAAATTAATCGTTTTTCTACCAAAAACCGCACGAACTTATTTGGTTACCTGGTATACCTGTATGATATTGTAGTCAGTGTAAAGTTCGCCTGTTGTAAAGTTACGTATCAGCGCTGATACCAAAACTAAAAGTTTCGCTGGTCATACTTAATGGCAAAAAAAGTCTAACAACACTGTTGCCCTGTCTGTTCTGGGTACATGGAAGGTTAAGTTTCAGACATTATCCATACTCGAAGCTGTTCGACTGGTCTTTGACACTTTCATATGACGGACAGCTTCGAGACCATTTCGCACCGACGGGTGGCCGGCGATCTTGCTCTCTTCTACCGTTACGACATCCCAACCCTGTCGTATTTCGTATATCGATAACTGGCTAGTACGACCGCTTCTCTGTTCCTAGGGTAGAACAATCTGCCGGGGAGATTGTAGAACAGTCTGGTAGCCTTATAATTATCCTTAACTGCATTTAACATTTACCTTTAAGGGCTACCACCTCGATGAAAACATCTTGGATATCACCGGAGCGTTCTGCTCCCGGTAAAAACCGGTGGACTTGTCGACCCTCTTCGTATAATTCCTTGCGATCCAGAGATGCGACGTAGGGGGGATGGTAGAGATCCCGGAATCCGAGAATCGTAAATCACAGATTGATGGGACAGAAATAAAAAAGTTTCTTCTGGCTTCTCGCCTCAACGGAACCGAATTAAAGACAATACTTAACGGTTAGTGACAAGGTGAAATTTCTTTTCTTCCGGCCCAGAGACGGCGCGCCGGTGACACTGACAAGATATATGTTTGTGATCTTTCTTACCTCCCTATCACCTCGCTGTTTGCGCTTCAGATATATCCACCAGCCGATTGTACTGCTTTGCATTTAATTCAAATAACTATCAATCAGGTTTCGCGACACATAGGCGTCCGCTATCGTGAGTCGAGCCGTTGGAACGTGTACGAAGCGGAAAGTTTTCGGCCTGAGATAGTTAGCGAAGAACGACCAAACTAGCACTTTGTTAAAATGGACTACCACCCAAGAAAATGTTACCCATTTTTGTCAAATTTCGTGGCGATATCTAATAAATAAAATAAGAAAATGCGTGTTCAAAAACAAGCTTTTATTCAGCCGTTATTAAAATGACCAAAACATTTGGAAATACCTGTTCCGTTGGGAAATATTTAAACGATAATGACAAGCTTCGAAATAAGACGTGTCACACCCTTTTTCCACCCTGCCGTCAAAGCTTCCAATTCTCCGGCTATGAGAGGGAACACCACTGACATCTTCATGGGGCGCTGTCTTCTGAGATACGCCGCTGGTTGATGCTGCCAGTTCGTATGAAAGGATAGTTAATGATGTGATTGCGTCCCGTTATATATCTCAGCCCCGCTCCACTTTCTAAAATACACTATTTACTTTATTAATGTTGAACATATATTTTCTGGCGGAAGGAAATGGACTTTTAAACTCACAATCCCTCGGTTGTCGCTTTTTACGTTCCAATGACACATAATCCCGGCAAGTATTTTTCATAACTTACATTGCGTTTCATCTGCGCACTACCGCCATCTTGGTTATGCCCTTAATGGCCTTAAATAGAAGAATGACTAGTTATTATGTTTATCTACAACCTCGCGAAACAGTAGGCTCCACTGTTTGCAGCTGGCCAAATAAAGTTTCAGTACAAGTTTGAACTTGCTCCTGCCTCCTTACCATTGTGAGCACAATCCGATTGAGCTCATTTAGGCAGAA